AGCGGGATAAAAACCGCAGTTCGAGCCCTGAGCAGCACTCCCACAAAGGCATCGAGGTCCGATTCATTTATTTATTTGCTCCCCGGGACGGCTGAGCACCCTGGCGCAGCAGCGCTCGGTGCTTTGGAAAGGCCATTTAGGGCGATTACTTATTTATTTGCAGCGGAGCCCGCGCTGGGCGCAGAGCGCTCTGAGCGCGTCACGAGGACGGTCCACGCTCCAAGGAGCTCCCGCTCCGAGGACTCGCTGGTGGAAAGAGGTCACGGGAAGGAGAATAACAATAAGCCATTTATGTACAATTTATATGCAAGACAAATTGATTCACGATAGGCAGCCCAGCGGAAGCGGGGCTTTAAGAGGGGCTCCGCGGGCGGGGGGGGGGGCCCCGGTACAGTGAATCCGCAGGGGGGAGCGGAGCTAAACTGGGGTCCTCACGCCTTCGTGTGCCATCCTGTGTCACCGGCCCCGCGAACGGGGGACGCCCAAGTTTCTCCCGCTGTTGGAAAATGCTGCCACACCACGGCAGCCTGCAAGAACACTGTTTTGCGTGAGATTGGCACCTTGGTGTTTTGCCTCGAGAGAGAGAAAGAAAACAAAAGGTAAAAAAGGGGAAGAAATAAAAAAAGAATTTAAGAGACCCAAAGCAGACGCAGACTTGCTGAGGGAGAGCAAACGGGCTGTCACAGCCTCCTCTTCGCCAGTAACCCCTTGGGGACAAGGCGCAGCTACGCGTCCCCATTGCGTCCGGTCCCCTCCCAACAACCATCTTGTCGAGGAAAAGAGAAATCACTGTTGCTCGTTATTTCATCCTCAGGCCTATGTGCTTTGTGAAGCAACTGGAGATCCCTCAGTATGGAAGCTACCGGCCCAACATGGTCCCAGCAACCCCCCGGGCCAACCTGGCCAAGGAGCTGGAGAAGTACTCCAAGGTCACCTTCGATTATGCAAGTTTTGATGCTCAGGTTTTTGGCAAACGCATGCTTGCCCCAAAGATTCAGACTAGCGAAACCTCACCTAAAGCCTTTAAATGTAAGTTGGGAGCGGAGGTGGGCTGGGTATTGCATTTTCTGCCTTTCTCAGCGTGTCGCGAGGCTCTTGGGGTCATGGCTTTGGGGTGATGGGAGACTCGGGGCTGCGTCGCTGGATGCCTCCTGCTGCTGTGAGGCAGGGGGGCGAATGGGGACGGGGGAGCCCACGATGGGTCCTGTGCCACGTACCCGGCAGAGAGAAGAGCCCGTGGCTGCCGGTAGAGCTTTGCTTGGGGGAGAGTGGCTTTGGCTTTGGGAAGAACTGCATCGAATGGTGGGAACATTAACCTGAGCGATGTCTCTAGGTGGGATAAGTTACACAGTTGTCCTCAGTCGGTCCCCGCTGCTTTGCAGTTCGTATCTATCGATCTGTCTTTCCCCATCAAGCTAAATGGATTATAGTTTTCTTCTCTTCCATCTTATATATGACCCACTCCACCCATTTGTCTTCCGTGCTGTGCTCTCCAGCTCTGCTACCTATCGATCACCCACCTCCTATGTCCCAGCTCCTTCCTGTCGTAGGCACCCACCTCTGCTCTGCACCAAGGACCTTGCACTGGTTACAACAGTGTGCAACAAGAGTGTGGGTGAAAACGAAATGGCTAAATAAACCCTCAGGGGCTGGGCTGTCAGGAGCAGGAGGGAAGCTGCACGGGGAGCCAGCCTGCCACAGGCTGATGCTAAACCTCCTCCTTCCCTTCGGCACCAAGTGTGCACCTGAAGACATCTTTCCGAGGAGAAAAAAAAAAAAAGAGAGAAAAGATTTAGGAGGCCAGTTTGCAGAAGTCAGCAGCCTCAAGAGTGCTTTCTGTCTGGCTAATCCCACCTCCACGATCCTGTTTAATCCTGATGCAGCTGCTCTCTAAAAAGTGCTCGTACTTGAAAGCATCCCGGTTGTTGCACTACAATGGAAGCGCCTTTATTACAGTACTAAATCTGTAAAGGATCAGACAATGCAATTGGATGGAGGCCAGAGAGCACAACTGCCACTGTCATCCTGGGTTAGGGCTGATGGAAAAGTAATTTGTTTCCCAGCACAAGTGATTCTCTTGCTGAATAGATTGTGTTATTTGCAATATTAGCAAAGAATTTTCAGGGTAATTGTACTGACAAAAATAATTCCAGCAGACCCACTAGGATAATCCTTTCTACTTTTTCTCATCACTTATTTTACTAATTTGCTGATTGCGAGTCTATTAGTGGTAGAAATCCTTACGAAATGGAAAAGCATCGCTGAGCCTACGGTGTGAAATTGAAATTGGCATCTCACGGTCCTGGACGCTGTCAGGTTGGGCTGGCAAATACCCGCACCCCGCCGCAAAGGCGGGGATTAAACCGGACTCGAAAACAAGCAGCCATACACAAGAATTACCATTTGGGCAAACCTCCAATGAGTTAATCAAAGCGACAAGATGAATATGATTGCCAATCATAGCAGGGAAATCTGTTCCTTTCACCGAGAACTTATTTTAAAGAGATCTTCATCCATCCAGAGGGATTTATATTCCCCTGCATGTGTGTGCGTAACTCCCATTAATGTCAATACGCATTATATACGCACACAGCGAAGAAGAAAGCAGTCCTCGGGAAGATTAGCATTTTATAGTGTCTTATATTACAAGTTGGTAACGGGAATAATGAAATCGCTTTGCTCTGTAGCCACATCAACCGAGGTTGTCTCGCTGCTTCGCCATCGCCGGGCCAAAGCTTGTGAGTCTTCCTTGGCAAGACTCCCACTGAAGGGGGTAGATTTTTTTCCCCCCAAAAAGGGCATAGTGAAATGAAGCAAGAATTGGAAGATTTTGCTAATTGATTCAGAATACAACCCTGCAATCGTTCAAAATCAGACGATCCCCGGGTTGCACCTGCTGAAACTACTGACTTCAGAGGGACTCTGCGTGGGTCAGGGCCCTCCCAAATGGGACCAGGTTCAAGATTAGGGCAACTTTGATTGTGGATTAACCCTGGGAAAAACTCGCTTTCATTTCATAGGGTGTAAAGAGAAATTGCATCGCTGGCGTTGCACTGCTGTGTGTTGTGGTGTGCAGCAACGGTGCGGTGTCGTGGCCACGCGCGGCTGTGTAAAAGGTCCTGTTATTCAGGCATATTTAAATGATATGTCAGCTGCCAGAAAACCCATATTTCACTGGTGTCCTTGTCAGAAGCGCGTATTTCATGGCCATGGATTTGCTATTAATGTAATTTTTTAAATTGTAAGTTTTCAAACATGCTACAAGAAATCTCCCGGTAAGTCAGCTCTGCAGATAAGTTATGAACATAGGGAGGACAATAAACAAGGAGCCAGGGAGCTTCTCTAAGCTCTCTCCTCTAACCAATTCCACCGAGGAGTAGCTTTAATGAAGAAAAGCACTCATGTTCTGGGGGCTTGATGGCAGAGTCAGTTAATGGATGAAGTTTTCACACTGAGAGACCGTTGCAAAGCCGCAGCCAGCACTGCTCCTATTGCACGTCCCCAGTTACGAAATAGCCCGTGGCTCGGGCTGCCACCGGAGCTGCTCTCACGTTAGCTGTGTCAGACTGACCTGACCTCTCATCGCTGCCTGTGCCGGTTGTACTTTAGCCTTGTGTTGTTCCTTCTCTTTTTATTCCAGCCAAACCTTTTCCAAAGGCCTCTTCCCCCAGCCACAGCCCCTCCAGCAGTTACGTGAAGAGCACTTCATCTTCCTCCACAGGCTTCGACTACTCCCACGATGCCGAGGCTGCGCACATGGCTGCCACTGCCATCCTCAACCTCTCCACCCGCTGCTGGGAAATGCCGGAGAATCTCAGCACCAAGCAGCAAGAGGCCCCCGGCAAGGTGAGCCGAGCGAGCCCGGGGACCACCGCTCCAGCGCACGGTGCAGTGGGCTAAAACCTGAAGTTTGGGATGGGAGAAACACCTTTTTTTTTACCCTCCCTTTCATTTTGTTCTTTAAATATAGAGGGGATAGAGACTCATCACGTATCACCCTTCCGTTCCCTGCTTTGGGCGATGCAGTTTGGAGGAGGTAACCTTGGCTCCTAGTGTGTCATGGAGGTCCATCGTGGTTCAAATGACCCACCCGAGATGAGCATCGCTCCTAAGCAGAGTCTCAGGGCTGGTTTCAGTTGCTCACTGGTCTATCTGATGCCATTTGAGATTCCCCTCTTGTGTCCTGGCTGATGTCCAGCTATTTTTCAGAGGAACACAGGTTTTCCAGAAGTCCCATGTTGCATCCCCAGCTTTGGGCAGATGTCTTAGATACCATGGCACATCTTAAATGGCACTAGATGCCTGTGTTCAAGCAACTGAGTCAAAACGCCATGTTGCTGGCAGCAGAGGAGTGCATTTGCATGGCACGTTTCTGAAAATATTTATGAAAGAGCATCCCTTTCCATTCAGTTCCTTCTAACTGACTGCGGAGAGCCCCCCGCGCTGCAAAAGACAAATGGGGGCAAGGTCCCTGGAGGGAATTGCTGGCAGCTGCTAATGTTGGGCGTGTTTCCAACCTTTCAGCCCATGGACATCGAGGTAGATGAAAATGGGACTCTGGACTTGAGTATGAACAAACACCGCAAACGGGAGAGCACCTTTCCCAGCAGCAGCAGCTGCAGCAGTAGTCCCAGCATGAAGTCCCCAGATGTGTCCCAGCGCCAAAACAGCACCAGTGCCACGAGCAGCACCATGACCTCCCCCCAGTCCAGCCAGACCTCCCGCCAGGATGAATGGGATGGGCCCATTGACTACACTAAACCAAACCGTCAGCGGGAAGAGGAGCCAGAAGAGGTGAGCAGTGACTTTTGATGTTTAAATAACACCTCGTGGGGGATTGAATGCCATGTTTGCTTGCATAGTTGTCCTGTTTTTCCCTGGAATTCCTACTTTGCCCTTTGAGCCTAATAGAGAAATATTATTAGCTTTGTCAGTGCTGCCAGGCATCAGCTGGGGACAATCAGGCAGGAGACAGAGCTGTCCTGGGGTGCACGTGGGTGCTCTTGGCTCCATTGGGGTGCTCTTGCCAAGAAGGAACCCACCGCTCGCATTGTCCTGGGTCTGCAGTGCTTTCTTCATTGTAAATCCTTTGAGCTCATTTGCACCAGTGATGCTCCTGGTGACGTTCCCAGGATGATTTATATCTGCCATTAGCAGATGTCACTAACATTAATCCTTGCAGGCGAGGGAACCCAGCCATTACCTCTTGGCGGTGGTGAGCATCCTGGTCCTGGAAGCAGCACACTGCTGCTCTGCCTGTGTGGAGGCAGGTGCTGCTGAGGATGAGTATGGGTGGACTGCACTGATCTTCATCCCTTCAAGACCTTGTGAGAGCCAGGTGTTAATCCCTGTACAGCCACGTTTTATGCATTTCTCCTATAAATAGAGGAAATTGCAGACTATTTGATCTCTGGTTTGGGTACTTCAAGGCACTCGCAAAAGGGCTCAGGAGTGTTGGCAAAGCTGCATTAACAGGGATGAACCTGGGATCCTTCCCCACCACGGCTCAGCATCAATGACCACCACTACAACCACTTTTCTGGGCTGTTTTCTTGCAGTCAGAGCCTGCCGCCCACTCTTTTGCCTCCTCGGAAGCTGATGAGCAGGAAGTGTCGGAGGAAAACTTTGAAGAACGAAAATATCCAGGGGAAGTTACTTTAACCAACTTCAAGCTTAAATTCCTGTCCAAGGACATCAAGAAAGAGCTGCTCACGTAAGTCCTGCCTTCTTGTCTCTTCCTCCAAACTGTATAAAATACATACACAGGACAGCCAGGCTGGTAGGAAACAAAATTTCTTAGCAAATACATTTTAAAAATTAAAAGTGTAGTTCCTTTTCTGACTGTGATTGGTCTTATCTCATCTAAGCTGTTCAACTGGAAGCTCAAAGAGGAACCCTGTCCTCGTACAACTGCTGATCCATGAGGCACATGGCCTTGAAACTTTGCAGTGATGAAGGGATCTTTCTGGGGAGCTTGGTGCTCTCAGGATTCACAGATGTGGATGTGGAAACCTCTTTGCAGAGACCTTTTTCCCTGTGTTTTCCTGCAAGAGTGTTTCTGGCACAGTAATGGAGCCTGTCCAATCTCTTGCCCCCTCGTTTTGGGACACTGGGTGATGCTGTGGAGTCAAGAGCACCCAAGGGATCTCAGTACTGCCTCAATGAGGGTGTTGAACTGCAAGGTGCCTCGTTGGGCAGGCAGGACTTGGCTGTTTAACATAGAGCATGGAGTCCCATCACCATGGTACTGCAGGGCCACAAAACGTGAACTAGGGCTACAGCAAGGTTGCATCTTACGTTGGAGAGAGATCTTAACCAAAGTTGTGTATTCTTGGCATTGGGTGGGTGGAATTATAGGCCCAGGCCTATTCTTTTAGACGGAGTACTGCTCTGCATCCACACTGATCTCCCAAACTCATGGTTGACATTTAGGGCCTGATCCAAATGCTGCAGCCTGGACATGGCTCTGACCTAGTGGCAGGTCGGGATCAGTCTGGGGGTTGTGATGGGGAGGTCTCACCTCCCAGGCACCCCACCAGTTCTGATGCGCTTGGGCCTCTCTCCTGTCCATATGTTGAAGAGGGAAGAGTGGGCAGGCACCATTTTGCTGACCGTATAAAACGCAGCTCATGACTTGGCTACGCGAGCAGGAGGCTGAGGGAGCAGACAGGCAGGGAGGAGATCCGTGGGGACAGAGCAGCAGCAGCATCTTCCCTAAATGAGCAAAGCGCGGACCAGCTGCCCTATGCAAGCTCTAAAGGCTTTGTTAAACCCAGCAGCGACGTGAACAGCAATTTCTGAGGTAGAGCCCTGAAGTCCTCCTGTGCCGTAATTGTATTATGAGGGCAGAGAAATTTCCTAAATGGAAACAGCCCTGGAATAAATAAATGGTGTCGTGGGCAGCCCTGAGCCTTCTCTCCCCATTTAGCATCCTTGCTCCTTTCTGGCCCAAGGGCCATGATGAATTAGCTGTAGTTAACTCAGGAGCAGACTTGCCCTCTGTGCCTGTTTGACGCTCCGTGTCTGGGTGCAGTTCCTGGCCACCTCCAGGCACTGATGGCAGTCGCAGTGAAGGTGCTCCTCACCTCCGTCTTCTTGCTGCCCTGCTGTTGGCACACGGGTGGGTACCACGTAGAAACACATCACGGCTGCTCATACATCTTCCTTACCTCATGGCTCTCTACAGCTACCCGAAAGGGGGTTGTGGTGAGGTGGGCGTTGGTCTCTTCTCCCAAGTAACCAGCAATAGGATGAGAGGAAATGGCCTCAAGTTGCACCAGGGGAGGTTTAGATTGGATATTAGGGAAAATTTTTTTATGGAGAGAGTAGTCAAGCATTGGCACAGGCTGCCCAGAGAGGTGGTGGAGTCGCCATCTCTGGAAACGTTCAAAAAACGTGTAGATGTGGCACTTCAGGACATGGTTGAGTGGGCACGGGGGCGTTGGGTTGGTGGTTGGACTTGATGATCTTAGAGGTCTTTTCCAACCTTAATGATTCTGTGATACCAGTGCCGGCTCTAGGGCCCATGGTGTTTGTGTGGGTTTTGTGGCTGTGAAAAGAACTCAAGGGTGAGCAGAGATATCCGCATCCTCAGGACTTAACCTTCCAGGCCAACCTGTGCCAGGACATCCCTGCAGTGTCCCAGGACATCCCTGTGCTCTCCCAGGACATCCCTGCCCTCTCGCATGCCCCTGGCTTTGGGCAGGCAGGGCACTACTGTGCCTGAGCCTCGCTGCTCATGCACAAACTGGTTTTTATTCCCTGGACACCGAGAAGGGATGACACCTTTTCCCATCGCTCGTGCAAGTGCGGTTCCTGGGGAGGCAGCGGGGAGGGACGGGTGGGAAACGCAGCCCGGCACAGGCAGCAGGCGGGACGTGGCAGCTTCTGCCTGTCCTCAGTTTAGGAGCTCCCAGGCACACGAGTCAGAGGTTACTTTTACTCCCCTTCCGGGGTGAACAGTGTTTTCAAGCTTTTCTCTGTAGCTATAAGGGCTGAAAAAGAAAAGGAACCATTTCAGAAAGCTGAAATCTGACGCTTCCAGGGAATAAGCTGATTCCTGCAGCCAGAACTTCAGGATTGCAAAAATCATCCAAACGGGCAGCACCAAGACAGTGGGGTTCGTGCCTGTTTGTTTATGCCACCCAGCTCGGCTGCCACCGAGCAAACCAAGCATTATTTTGAACGCTTTCTCTACATTTGCCACAGATTTTTTTCAATTTTTTGTCCAATTTTTTTCAGAATCCTTGTGATCTTTTGGGAACGAAAAAGGGAGGGAGGGGAGCTGGAAGGGAAACAGCTGGTTTATTTGCATGCAAACACAGAAGCACACGCCGAGGTCTGACGGAAGGAGCCGGCGTAAGGGGTCCGGCTGAGCCCCCCGGCAGACAGCTCAGCGGGCTTTGCGGATCCCTGGCTCTCGGGTGAATCCATTCCTTTCCAGCACTTAACACTCGTTGTTGTTGTTGTTGCCCAGTTGCCCAACGCCAGGCTGTGACGGCAGCGGACACATAACGGGAAACTATGCCTCTCACCGCAGGTGGGTTGACCTTTTTTTCATCATTTGGACTCTAAAGACAACTTTTTTTTTTCTTTTAGTGTATTTTTTGACCATGTGGATAGTTTGGTTCTGTTTCCTCCCCACCTTCTGTTGCCCCTCTCCCTCCCCACACCCTGGCCCTTTTTCTTTTTCCTTTTTTCTTTTTTTTTTCTTTTTTTTTTTTTTTGCTTATCCAGATATTCCATCTCTTCTCTTTCAGCCTTTCTGGTTGTCCTCTTGCTGACAAGAGCCTCAGAAACCTCATGGCTGCCCACTCTGCTGACCTCAAGTATGTTTGCGCTCAACTTGGAACTTCCTTTTTTTCTTTTTTTTTTCTCCACCCTTTTTTCTCTCTTCCCCCTCCCTGCTTCCCCTCCTCTTGCTCTGCTTTTGCTTTGCCATCCCCTCCCTTCTCTTTTCAAAGAGCCGATCGAAATCCGCTTGCGAGGAGCTCTGGTGGAGTCCAGCCTCCAGCTGCCGCCTTGGGAAGAGTCAGCATCACGGAGCAAGGCTTATTTTGGGGAGGGGGGGTCACAGCAGCGATCAGAAATAACTTGGACCCTTGGCAGGTTTCTTTTGAGCACTGTAGAAACATGTGATTTTCTTTTTCATTTGGTGTCTTTTCCCAAGCTCTTGTTTCCCTAGTTTGTGCCATAATCCTTTTCTTCCAATGTTTTTGTACGGCTCTCAAATAATCCAAAGCCTAGATAAAGGCACACGCTTTATTTTTGGGTAGAGACACAGCTGGGAAAATACTGCCAGGACATAGTGAAGCCAACTCTTTTGGAGAACCTGGGATGCTAATTTTACATTAAATTTTAGGGGTAGTTTGGGATGCAGTGACAGGTTCCTATTCATTTCCATGGGAGTTTGATTTGCGAGGGAATGAAAGAGGGAGCAAGCAAATGCTTGGTGAGGCTGGGTCCTGGGCCAGTGGTAAAAGGCTCACGGGCACACCAATTTCCTTGTTTCTCTTTCTACTCCTGAAGGGAGGAACACGGTTTTGACATTTTCATTCAAGTATCTTCCTCTGAATCCTGTTTTCAGCTTTGCTGCTGTCTCCCCAACGCTCCTCACTCTCACTAGGAGCTTATTCTTCACAAGAGGGTTTCCCAAATGGTCCCTCAGGTTGCCTCCCCTAAAGAAGGGTTTAATAGAAACTGTATTTAAAATAGATGGAGACACTGGAGGGACCCTAAAACTTCTGCACTCAACCCACATCTTTAGGGAAAAGCTAACTGTGAATTTTTTTTCAACATCTCTTCCATGGAGCCAGCCTATCTTTGGAGGCTGATTCTCCTCTTAGCTCCCTGCTTTGCTGAATCCAGTTTCAGGATTATTTAGACGCTGAGGTATTCATAACTATAACCGAAGAGCCTCTACTGAGAATAAAACCTCATGGGAGACTTCACATTGTGCAGGCTCATCACACACAAAAAAGGTGTCCTGTCTGCCATCAATGCTACTTGGAGCCATGGTAGGAGAGTCAGGTGGGAGCCCCTTTGGCCGTTGAGGTGGTCAGTAAAGCCCCAAATCCCTTTTTGGTGGCCTGGAGGGCAGCGTGGGTCTGGGACTGCTCCGCACTCCACCACTGACGTGGGTGCTGGTGCCAGGAAGAATGTTCCTTAACTGCCTGCTCCTTATCACAGAGGTGGGAAAAGTAGCTGGATTAGTTGATATTAATAGAATATGCTCGTGGATGGAAAGGACTCGCATGATTAGCGCTAAGTACACTTAATCATGCATTATAGACAATATACATTTTGAAGGAACCTCTTAAGAGAGCTTTGCTGAACTGCTGTTTCTCCAACAGCCTTAAAGAATAGCCCAGTGATCAGGCAATTAGTGTTAAAGATATTAAAAGCTCCCAGGAACAGTGCCCATTTCCAGTAAGGGCCTGGAGAAAAAGCGAATGGGGTCGTCCCTGAGACTGAGCATCACGCCGAGCCTTGTGCAGCATCCCCTGCTCCCCTTGGGCGTCTGATGTCAGCGCTTTTTATTAAAATACTATATAGAACAGGAGAATTCTGGCCAAAACAAAGCCTTTTAATGTTATTTCCCAAGTACTGCTTTTTTTCTATGTCCTGGTGAGGACGGCAGCAGAGAAGGGAGGAAGGGAAGAGGATTTTGAGGTATTACAGATACCACAGTCATAGCTTTCCACAACTTCAGATAAAGCCATGTCAGTGCTTCTATTATAAATTCTATTCCAGGGGTTAATATCCCTGATATAAAAAAATAGCTCCAGGCTGGAACATGCAATAAAAGGTCTCTGTTGGTATGATTTGTCTCCAGATAATTAAAAATAAAAATCAAATCACTTCTCTCCCTTCTCTAAAAGTCCTGAAAGGCAAAAAGAGTTCGGCGTTAGTGTTTTCATAATTTCATCCCACCCTGAAGCTAGAACAACAAAGGAATAGTTTTGCTTTCTACTTAAAGAGCGTATCACAGGGAAATGTCACACTCACCTCCTAAACCTGTAATCTCTAAATGCGTTAGAGAACCTGCACCCTCATCGAGGTCCTGCTGGATATGTCCCTTCTCCTACTGCACCGGACCTATGTGCTTTTATGTTTTCTTGGGTCTGAGCAGGCTGAGCCTTGGCCCTGACTTAGTCTCTCTGCCACCCTTCTGGGGCGAGGACATGTCCTGCTCTCCCACCCTAAGAGATGCCCATTTTTTTCTCCAATAGAAACTATTCAATGACCCACAAGTGCCAAACCCTCCCTCAGAGCTGGTGCAAAGAGGAGAATTTTGGTATTTTCTGACCCCCCAAAAAAACCCAACCCTTCTTAAAAGGCCATTTTCCAAGCTGCAGAACTAAAGGCATCTGTGGAAATCATTGTCCCATTGACTCTCAGAGGCCAGAGCACCTCAAATATACCGTTGCCTAGGGCAGGCACACGCATATTGCCCTTCCCGCCGGCAGTGACCTCAAAGGCTGCCCGTGCACCACCGCGCGTTGCCCATCAGTTCACCGGGGTGTCCTGGAGACACACCGATCCCTGCTCTGCTGTGGGGTGCCGACCGCTGGGACCGAACCAGCCACCAGTGGCTTTGAAAATGGGGATCGAGAAAGTGGGGGCACAGTAAAATCCGCCCTGGAAGGCAAAGGGCTCTCTGCGAGCTTGCGGTCCTCTGCGAGCTTTGCCTGCTCTGGCTCAGAAGCGAACGCCGGAGCATCTGCCGCTCGTCCCGCGGCAGCACCGTGGCTTCTCTCCCCCCAGTCCCACTCGCTTGACTCACAGAGCGAATCGGCCGGCTGGCACACGCGTCCTTGGCGAGGACTCCTCGCCTCTCTCCCTAGTCCCCGCGACAACTTTTATGTCCGTCACATCACCTACAGCATTCGGAGCAGATCTTTGTGCTCATGGTACCTCATATCCCCTCACCCTTTTTTGCTTCTGTGCCCTTAATGATGCGGTGCTTAACTTGCGCCGTTACCCTCGCCGCTGCTCGGCGGGGCTCGCACCCCTGCGAGCCTTCGTGCAGCTTTGTGCCATCACAGAAGTGCTCTCCTGGCTTTGCTTTCGGTCACGTCCCAGCGCGGTGGATGCTTCCCTGCAAACCCGTGATCACGGCTGCATCTTCAGAGACCCCTTTGTAACGGCAGTGGTTGAGGACCGAGATTTTTGCACCGAAGCGCCAAAAGCTGCTGGCACACCGTGCGTGGTGACCTGGTGGGCGCCAGCTCAAGGCCCCCAGGCAGCTGTCCCCTCGCAGCCCCCCGTCCCTTGCCCATGCTGTTATGGGAGGAGGAGACCCGAGGTTCACCGAACCTTTTCCCTCCTATTCCTTCATTACTTTCCATCAGAGACATTGGCCAGTTTTGGACTCTGAGGATCCTCCTGTGGTGGGGTGTTTGCCCTCAGTGAGATTAGCCCCCACCAAGTCACCCAGAACTAAGACCTTCTGTTGGGCTTCCTCTTGGTGGTGGCCGAGGTGGCTCCGTTGTCCAGACTTGTAGGCTATTTTTCTGGTTTCTTGTTTGTGCTCACATCCAACCCAGTGGCCCTGGATGGTAACTGCTGTCTCCTTATGGCTTCCTCAAGAAGACAGACACTGTCCCAGAAGTCTTTTGTTTTTGGCTTATTATCATCTCCTGAGCTGCCCTCTTTGTGAGAGTGGGACCCGCGTCCCTCCGCCGGAGAGCAGCCACCCACCACGCTCCCAACAGCCTCACCTCTTCCCACCGATGTTCCTCTCCAACACACCACGCACGCAGCGATGCATCGCCGTTGATGCCATGGATTTTACAGACCAGACCTTGTTCTTATGACGGGAGAAGGGGCAGGAAGAAAAACCCTGCGTCTGTGTTGACAGTCCCTAGATTTCTCTTTGAAATGAGCTGTCGCAAAGCGTCGATCCCCCGCTCGCATCCCCAGCCTAATCTGAGCCTCCCTTTCCTCCGCAGGTGCCCTACTCCTGGTTGTGATGGCTCTGGTCACATAACAGGAAATTATGCATCGCATAGAAGGTAAGATCTTCCTTAAATTATTTTCTCTGTAACCTCTTTCTGGTTTTTTTTTTTTTTTCTCCCCTGCAGTGGGCAGAGTTGTAAAGTTCTGAATAAAACATTAATGTTACTGACAACTGAAGCCTATTTTCATCTCTTTAATCTGACTTCTCTTTTTTTTTTTTTGATGTTTCCAGCATCTGATTAGAAGCTCCCTTCAACAAAATGAAAGACAAAGGGTCAGATTTTAGCTGATGCAATGTTCCTGTTAATAATGCTACCTATTTATGACTTCTATTATCACTTTAGAGCATTAATAGCAGAGATCTGAGCCTTCTGTTTCAACAATTCCATTAAATATCGCAGGCTGTTAGCAGATATCTTCTTATCTAGACACCATTAATTACTGTCCATCTCCCTCAATTTTGTATTTTTTTTTTCTCCCGACTTCTCGTCATGTGAAGCTGCAAAAGGAGGGAGATCAAAAACACTGTGCCAAATTCAAGGGAAAGATGACTGAAGCAGGGGAATAGCAAATGCAGTGATTCTGCCAGTGAGACAGGCCTTTCTTCTCTTTTTAACCACAGTCTGTCAGGCTGCCCTCGTGCCAAGAAAAGTGGGATCAAGATCACCCCAACAAAGGATGATAAAGAAGACCCAGAGCTGATGAAGTAAGTCTAGATGAAACTCCCGAGCAGACCCGTTCGCTCGATCCCCTTTGCCTTGCACAGCGTCACGCAGGGCAGCAGCACCCATCCCGCTCGCGCTGCTCAGGGCATCATCTGCCCGCGCTGGAGCGGGCGCTGCCGAAGCTCCGCTGCTGCTTTCCGGGGAATTTTTCCCTGATTCCAAAAATGGTGTTGCAATTTTGAAATTGAATTGGAAAATTGGGCGGTGGGGAAGTAACGGTGTGGTTTTTCTTGTCTGTTTTTGTGTATGTGAAAGGTAAGCTGGTGGGGCACGAACAGTTCCTCTCCTACCTGTGCTTTATATAATTCCTAAAAAACCCACCAGTGTTGTAAATGAGGGTAAAGCCCCACAGTCAAGCAAAACATCGCAGGTTTTCGGGCAGCAATGGGCAGGTGAGGGGTGCCGGTGGATTTGCTTAACTCCCAGGAACACGGTAGAAATAGAAACTCTCCAGCACTGAGCCGCGTCAGGATCTGGTAAACCTGAATAAAATGCGTTTTGTGGAGTCTTTGCCACGGCTGAATATTCAAAGCAAACTGAAAAAGCCTTTCTCTACTGCCTCGGGCTGAATTTTTCAAAACATCCCAGGGGGTTTATTCCTACTGGGAACAGAGATTTTAAATCTCTTAGTCTGCCTCAGGAGCTTTCGTGTGCTGTGAAATCCATCTGTCCCCACTTTTAGCAAGCCCCAGCATCACGGGCTCAGCGTCCAGGGCCTGACGCAAGGTTCGGGGTCTGTGTCTCGTCCCCTCACGCAGCTACAGGACATCAAAGCCTTTACAGCAGGACTGGGGCCAGCACTGACTCCAGCATCCTATCTTTTTGTTGACCCAGAGCATCCCCAGCCTTCCTGGAGCCTTTCCACTCACCCAGCAAGTGCGGGTGGAAGAGGGTGAAAAGAAATGCGGAAAAACTTATCAACCCTCTCCAAGAGTTTTTGGATGCCCGTGGGCACTGGCATTTCTGGCCAAAACCCTTTGGCTCAGCAGACTGTCCCCAAATGCACCTTTTTTCCTCATTTTAGCCCTAGGGCAGGTCTTGCCCTTGCGGAAGAGCAGAGGTGCATGCCTCTGCAGACCCGGGTTTTGCCCCGGAGCAGAGGCTGAGCCGCAGCGTGAACCGGTGGGTGCGGGAGAGCCCGGCGGGGGCTGCGGGAAAGCGGGATGTGCCAGCGGGGGAAGGACCTTTAAGAAAGAGATGATATTTGAGCCATCTGCTCTGTTCTTACTCCTCAGTCTACAGGAAGGAAAGCCTCCCAGTTAAATGAGCCATGTGATAATTAGCAGGAGTTAGCGGAGTTTATTAAAAATTAAGCAACCTACTCAGGAATCTGTGGGAAAAATCCTGGTTTTGGCTCAAATACACTGAATGGCTGGTGGTGGTGTAATGCCGTGCCATTAACGAGTTACACAGTGAAGGAAAGGACAAGCAGCGAGCGCTGCCGTGCAACGACCGTCCATTTGCTCCTTTTGGGGCAGTGGGAAGCCCCCGGCTGGGAGGTCGCCCCTCTCCACGTCTTCCCCGGGGAGATGTGCCCTGCGGGGCAGGAGAAGCCATGGCTTTGCTGGTCCATGCCTGCCCCGTTTGGGGCTGGGACCGGTCGGCGATGTGCCAAGCAGCTCCCCCAGTGTGGTTTCTCTGCAAAGAGATTGCTTCCCAGTGCAAGGAGAAAGGGGCTTTTACACGGCTCTTCTGTTTCGGGGCAGCTGGTGCCTGTACAGGAACATGGGACGAGCTGCCGGGGCATCCCCAGCACAACCAGTGGTCCCCCCCAGCGCCTGCACCAGGGCTTGGGTGTCTCCCAGCCCACCCTAAAGGTGTAAATGCTGGGAGGCTAAAGTGGCAAGAAACGGGATTGGAGCATCACCAGAGCTGGGATTTTCTGACTCCTAGAAAGCTGATGCTGTCCACCCCCGGACTGGCCGTGGAGGCTTGCTGAGGCTCTGCTGCTCCGCCTGCAGCGGGACCGCGGGCGGTGCCGGGTGGGCTGCTGGGGTCTCTGTGGCATGAGGACATGAAGGCATTCCCCAACATCCCGCGGCACGGGAAGCGACCCCCGGCTCCTCCGGTATGCCCAGGAGGAGCAGAAGCTCCTCTGAGACGTGCAAAACAACACGGTACGATGACCCCTTCGCTGCCGCCTTCCCGAGCCCTTGGAAAGGAAGGAGCTTCGCATGAAGGAGCTTTGGTGCTAAACCCATCCTCCGTCCGCACCAAGAGCCGCTTGGAACCCGGCCGAGTTGTGCACGTCGCCACCGAGGAGAAAGTCATTTCAGTCCCCGTTGTTTTTGCTGTTCATCCTTCAAGTAATTTGCTACGGACGTGATTGAACAGATCACCTCAACCTTCAGCCCATAAAAAGGAAGCATCCATGGCTGCCTAATATATCAAACGCTACTGGTGCTTCCGTTAAATAATAATAATTTTTAAAAATATTTTTTAAAAATGTCCAAGCTAGGTGTTTTGCACAATAAGGGTCTGGTTTATTTTTTGACAATGAAAATGTAATGAAACTTAATTCAACGGCGTAAAACATGTAATGGTTGGGCCGTAACGGCAGCATGCTAAATGCTGGGGGTTGTCTCTTTCTCTCTTGCTCTTCCCCCCCTCCTCCTTTTCCTCCTGAGGATTCAGTAATTTGCTCGTGATCATATAAAAGCAATGATGTTATGAATTTACTGAGGATCCTGCTGGCAGAGATATTATAAGTGAATTGTGCTGCATTTGCAGCTGATTAAAATCGAGATCAGCATTTTTCAAATTATCTTGGGAAAAGGCTGGGTGTACAGCTCCCCCCGTCTGCTGTCATCTCCCTTTTGTACGAAATATAAACAATCAGGGTAATCACTTCTGCGGTGAAACGCAGCTTGTGATTTTCAGGAGCAGCTCGGTGGATATTTTGCCGGGGAAACGTTAAGTCCCTGATTGCTTTCAAACTGAGGACACGCCGTTATTTTTGCCGTTTCTTACCTACTTTTCCTCCCACCCCTCCTTTTTTAGAGTAACCTCCCTCGAGTAATAAACTTTTAACTGTATTTATAATTGATTAGGATCTTTAAACAAATGCAGACCGCAGCAGAAAGCTTGATAGATACACAGGGCTTTGTCGAACGGCCGAATTCAGCGAGCACGGGAGAGCCTGCGAGCCTTTCAGAGGGGCACTCGTCCTCCTGGCACTTAGCGCAAGTCGCGCCCGCGCTTCCCCGTGGCGCCTCGCGGCCCCTCTCCACTCTGACCGCCATAAAGGCGGCACAAGCAGGGGGGTGGGAGGGCTCGGTGCCGCCCTGAGGGTAATTCCCACTCGTATCCCCTCGCGAGCGCAGGTTGAGCTCTCGGCAGCCGCGGGATGTGAGCCGGGAGGAGGAGGAGGAGGCACGCGAGGCCATGCCACGCCGCAGGCTGAGCGGTGCCCCGGGGTTTATTTGTCCCCTCTGATGGGGCTCAGAAACGCCCCGCACGCCCGTTTTGCAGGAGCAGGTTTGCAGCTTCTCGGTGCGCAGGCTGCAGCCCGGCCAGCTCCCACCCCGGGCCAGGGACGGGTTCACGGGGAAGGGCCGTGGCCCCGTGGGCACAGACGGTGCTCCTAGATTGCATCGACGGTGCCAGTTTAGGGCGACAAGTCGATGTCCTGGGTTCCTCGGCAGTAAGGGCGGGCAGAGCTGGCTGTAAAGGCGTGAAGGTTTGGCAGGAGCACGTCAGCCTTGGGTAACGTCGGGATCTCACGTCAGGCAGCCCAACCTGCCGTCTTTGCCCTCAGTGAGGCACCAAACACACGGCCTGGGACACCGCTGGGACCTGCCTTTGCTGCATGTGTGAGTGTGATGTGCCTGCACCGTCCTTCCCTCTTGCAGGATTTACCTTGGTTCCCTTTGGCTCTTTTGAAGGGACAGTCACAGCTCTTAATTTCCCATCCGCCATTTCCACCAACCAAGCACCTACCCCGCAGCGTCCAGATGAGATCCCCAAACGCGAACGCTCTCTTCCCAGGCTTCCTCATTGCTGCTCATCCCTAATTTCCTTACATCCCTCTTCATTCCCATGCTATAACTTTTGGCAATTCCCTGTGCCCAGGTGTCCGGTTCCTGGCTGCGTTGGGCTTGGACACATCAGTGGCAAATACGCCTCTCACCGGAGCGCATCAGGGTGTCCTCTCGCAGCCCGCAGGCAGAAGGAAGGATCGCTCAACGGCTCCTCATTCTCCTGGAAGTCGTTGAAGAATGAAGGCCCAACCTGCCCCACCCCAGGGTGCGATGGCTCCGGCCATGCCAATGGGAGCTTCCTCACTCACAGAAGGTAAATCACAGGGCTGAAATCACCATGAGCATGACAACATTGCCGGGGACTAACCCACCCGCCTGTAGGTGCTGCGTGAGCGTCGTTCAGCTCATCACGCAAGGCTTAGTAACTGCTGCTTTTGATGCTGAACTCAGTCAGGTTGCTCCAAGGTTGGAGTTGTCTGCATGGAAGAAAACGTGTAGTTGTTTTAATGTTGCAACAGTGAGGTGTGGATTGGGCAAAGTCGTGAAAAGTCCTTCCATGAGCAAGCCAGAACAGGACTTTGGCACCCAAAACAGGGGTTTGATGCCCAAACCAGCCAGACTCATCTCACCTTCCTCACCTGTCATGGCCCTCTCTTTTAGGAAACAATGTGGTTTTAAATCTTTGTTCAGAGAAAATTGCTCTCACTTTATAAATGGGGAGTTTTGTGGCATTATTCATAAAGCAATTTCCTCTGTACCATAAAAAGCTTTTAGAAGAACTGTCTCACAGCATAGACTCCACCAAATGGTACATGCTTTTGTTGGGAACATAAGCTCCTATAAACACCGAGAGTTTATGAAACCCATTTTTACTTGCTTTTCAGTTTGTCAGGGTGTCCAAGAGCTACTTTTGCTGGGAAGAAAGGAAAACTCTCAGGGGATGAAATTCTCAACACAAAGTTCAAGACCAGCGATGGTAAGGATTGTCACTCCTTTTGCCTTGCAGGTGCGTCAAGGTATTGAGCCCGTATATCTTTTCCTTTGCAGACTGAGCAGGTTTCAACAACTGAAATCTGGCCTCAGATTTGCAAGTTTATCATGTGCTATGAACACCCATTTCTCGGGTTGCTTGGACATGGGGGGTGGCGTGGTACCGGCACCGCTCCCCGAGCGACACACTAGGAGGGAGCAGCTGAAACGATAAGGAAGGAGTTTCCATTGTGAAATTCCAGGCAAAAAGAATTAATGTTGAAATTGAGATATTTTTTCAAATACTCATTGGCATTTTCACAAATCCTTTGCATTTGTTCAGCGATTTTCACCTATTCGGGGCTTTTAATCCTGCAGGTATTTCTGAATATGGAATTTTTATTAGCGACGGCACTTTGCATTTCCAGTGCTATCCCTGAGGTTTCTGTAGTATTTGACAAGGTTCAGGTATTCAGCTGGAATACTTACAGAGTTTCGAATCTATAAATACCTGCACTTTTCTAGAAATATTGCTTTATTTTATGAACCTTGAAATTTCTAATCAAGACATTGCGTGCGTTAGTTTTTTTATATGGCATCTTCCCAAACTCGGCACTGGACAGAGTGACCTGAGGTTTCAGGGCAATAAACCTTGCAGGGTGCACAGAGGTGCTGGACTCCAACTGCTATGCTGCCGTTGGCTTTTGCATTTACATGTTGACCTATAAAGTGTCATTGAATCCCGACGCTAAGAACATTACTAAAAAAAATAAAAAACAGGTGAGATATGACGATACAAAAGCAAAGGTGAGGACTTTGTGAGTGGTGATGTCTATGCAACAGGGTGGGCTCAGCAGAAAGCCCAACGTGTCTGCTTTTCCCACAAGCGTTTGCTGACTGCCCGTGACCTTCTCTCCTGCAGTTCTGGAGAACGATGAAGAGATCAAGCAGCTGAACAAGGAGATCAGTGAGCTGAACGAGTCCAACTCGGAGATGGAAGCAGCCATGGTGAAACTACAGTCGCAGGTTTGTGCCCTCGGACGTGCGCCCAAGACCGGGGACACACGGCCAAGCCCCGTGCATGGGTGGTAGCGGGTGCTGTTACGTGAGTGCTGATAATCCTGCCATGCTCCTTGCTCTGCAGATCTCCACCATGGAGAAGAACCTGAAGAACATTGAGGAGGAAAACAAAATCATAGAGGAGCAAAACGAAGCCCTGTTCCTGGAGCTCTCAGGGTTGAGCCAGGCTCTAATCCAAAGCCTTGCCAATATCCGCCTTCCGCACATGGTAAGAAACTTCGACAGTGCTCGCCCCAGCCAGCATGATTGAGGGAGCCGTGCCAACCCAGCTCCCGATAAGGCTCATGTACAATTAAAGAGCGGGAGAATTTCTCTACATGCACCTGTATGTCCTTTATAAGATCAGTACTTTTGCCTTTATCTCTGAAGCTTGCATTGTATCTCCCTTTTGTTGTCATTTTCTGCTGATCTCCCTTTGTATCTATTGTTCCGTCTCATTACATCTGGGAGCACTATCACAAAATAGGAAACTTTATCAAGGGCACCCAGCGCCTTTTAGGCTAAGACAGCACAAGCAGAGATCAGGAAGGATTGGATTTCAACGTCAGAAAGATCTTACAGCTCCTATTATAATGCAGGTAGTTTCAATTCGGTTTTGAATAGCTGGCAGCCAAAGAATACCATTCTTAAAGAGAGGGTATTTTGTTTAATTTAACAAGGTCTAACAGCCCACAGCATGTTACCATAGAGTTACTGCAAAATGAAAAGACTGCATTAAAATAGTAAAACCACAAAAAGCTATTAATTACCTTCCCTCTCTTCCCAGGAATGTAATTACTGTTGTCAAAACCAGGTGTGCGGAGGGGGGCTCGTGTTGTTGGGGAAGCTGTCCTCTTACAACTCTTTATAAAAAGACCATCGCATTCATCAGAGGAATGAGCTTTTGATTTCTTTTTTCGGCCAGCATTTTTTGGGGGGGGATGTGTGTGTGTGTGCAATCCTTTTCATTGGGTTTTGTATTTAAATTCAGGCTGGTTGGAGAGAAGCCATCCTCCAGCAGAGCAGTTTTGGATAGTATTCACCCAGCTGCCTAACTGGCAGAAAACCGCTCGCCAAGTGCTTTTCTGTAAAGTATTTGACACATAAAGGTCAAATAAACTGTTCAGCAAATATTTTTTCAAGGTTTCAGGCAACTCCAATTAAATAATGCCCACGAGACTTGTATGCTCATTTTATTTCTGTTCTTTTTCTTCCTTCTCCTTTTCTTTTTTCCCCATTAACTCCAAGTTAGATATTTGCAAGCTTTCTACGATACCACTCAAAAGCAAAAGCTGTACCGCAGCAGCACGCTGGTGTGGGCAGACGTGCGCCCGAGGTGACCGGGCTTCTGTCCTAACTTTGCCTTTGATTCCCGCCGTGATGCTTCAGCAGTCCCTGCCTCCTCTCGTCCTGCAGCCCTTTGCTTCCATGGCTTAATTCAGCCTCAAGCCTGTCAAACTGCCTGCGCGCACTTAACCTGATGCTGTTAATAGTTCCACGGGGCCAGTGCATAAAATTAAGGACCCAGTTAAGATCTGGCAGGATCAGGGCTGGCACGATGAGATTCCCGTACGTACAGCACTGCGCACAAAAAGGCTCTGGCATGGAGACCTTTGGCTGTTGGTGCATACACAGCTAATTAATTGCAAAGAAACATCTCAGCCTCTTCCTGCTCTAATACTAATGCTTTTATTTGGCTTTTTTTGGTTGCAGGAGCCAATTAGCGAGCAGAACTTCGATGCGTACGTGAACACGCTGACCGACATGTACACCAACCAGGAGTGCTACCAGAACCCGGAGAACAAGGACCTGCTGGAGAGCATCAAGCAAGCTGTCAAGGGCATCCAGGTTTAGTGCCATGGGATGGAGACAAGCAAATGAACAGACTGTAAGATGGAACTTTCCCTCCAAGTATTCAGGTTTACAAGTTAGAAAACTTGTTTAATGAATGAAAAAAAAAAAAAAAAGGACCAAAACGTAACCAAGAGGCCATTTCTGAGACATGGAACTGATTGAACTCAATGTTCTCGTTTACTTATCTTTGGACCTTCTTGAGAAAAGTGGGATTTTTCTACCTGGACCACGAGGTAGTTCAGGATGGAAGGTTAAATTCTCCAGTAGGCTGTGGGGCTTGGTAGCTGGTGAAGAGCGGGCGTCTTTCATGAGTTGCCATGCTCTTGCAGAGTTGATCCAAGAGTTAAAAAGTTACAAGAACAGGGTCTTGTCTGATCCAAGACTAGCGTATGACTGGCTTAAACCCTCATGTTGTCTATGGTTGTATGTCCAGATCACCTACTCACACATGAATTATGTTCTACGTTGCTACAAGTGCTGGAGCTGCAAGCTACCTGTAAATCTGAACCTGTGCTGGGCCTCCCAACCCCGAGGTGTTCAGATATCCACTGGGCATGGGAACTCTGAAGTATTATAAAGTAGCTTATTTTTATTTTCTGAAAGAAATCTGAAGAGCAGTTCTGGATCTCCAGTGGAAAGCGCAATGGAAAAAAGGTTCTCAGGGAAGCTTTTGGAGTTTGCAACTACAGTATTCCTTTGTCTGTCTTAAATATGAGAATAGCTATTATGAATAGGCCAATACCAGATATTTCATACAGAAGAATTCTTTTATGTGACATGGTCCGGTGTATATGATTTTTTGGAAGTCTATTTGATGACAGTTCTGGTTCTTTTTCATTACTGTGATCACCCTTACAGTGGCGCAGTACTGCCAGTCCGGAGATCATACATCAATGCCAGAGAACATTTGAGATTGCGATGAACAAAAAAAAAAGAAACAAAAACCAACAAAAAGAGATGTTAATTGATGGCCAGCAAAGTGCTTACCTACCATGAATCAGTAGTTGATTTCTTACAGGTATCCACAGGGCAATGGGTATTTTTTGGTTTGGCGTTCTACGTTTTGTGCAACAGAGCACAAGCGCCATTCTGGAAAAAAAAAAAAAAAAGGAAAAAAAAAAAAAGAGAATATTCAGGTATTGGGTATTCTTCCAAAGAAGCATTTTGTAAGCAGCTCGGTACACGCAGCCCACCGTGCACTTCAGGAACAACTCGCTGAATGTCTTTGCGACGCTGCCCTCCAGCACCCGCTCCATCGCGCGTGGGGCCGGCCGCCAGCCCGCGGGTTTGCTCTCCCCACGGTCGCTCCCGTCCGGAGCTCGCTGTCCTCCTGCTGCAAACACTCGGGAAGCAGAGGGGTCCAACCCCGCCGCCGAGGGGTCCCAGCGCGGGGTCGGCAGAGAGCCGGGGAGGATTTTGCTGGCCCGTACTAAAGGCAAGACTGCGGTGTCATTTCGAGCCCAATCCTGCAGATATTTAGGGCGTAATCCACGATTCGGAGAAGTCAGCCCGGCCTCG